ACACTAGAAGGTTTGAATATACACTATGTGACAACAGCATTCTACCACCCACAAAGCAACAGTAAGGTAGAATGGTTGCATAGAATAATGCACAATATTTTATCAAAAAAAAAAATTAGGAATAATGATAGATTATGGGATTTATATATTAACCAGATGCTTGCAGCAATTAAGTTTAACATTAGCAAGGCAACAAAATTCTCACTATACTACTTTATAATAAGGACATCGTTCTGCCGTGATATATCTTAAAATCCTGTTGTCTTTATTATGGAAATGAGCATCACAACATTGTATTACACGAACAACACAAGATGTTTAAGTAGGAAACTTAGTCTATGATAGACGGGGCAATTTAGACATAAGGTGGTGGCCATATTATGTACTAATTGAGAAGATTGGTCCAGTATCTTATAGGATCAGTTAACTTGTTTGATAGTTAAGGTCCAAGCTGAACACGTTAGGGCAGCGAATAGTCAGGAATGGATAATTTCCACTGATACGTTATGAAGGGCAACTCTAGCAGCCCCAGGACAGACTGACATATCTGAGAATGAGTCAAGTAATGAAGGAAACAAGTACCTAGAAAATAAATGGAAACACCAACAAGACGATTTGGAAGAAAAGTCAGATATTTGAATGATGGAACTTCATATTGTGATGCATCAAAGAAGAGCAGAAGAAAATGATACGACCCAAAGTAATAGCAGGAATAGAAATAGCTTCTCAGGTTCAAATAGTAATGATATGGAGGTATGTGTGACTAAAATGGAGAAGGATTTTGATAGGTATCAGGGTGACAACACAACAGATGAGAGTTCTTACAAGGGCCATAGTAATAGTAATTGCAGTAGTCGGTATAAGCTCAGAACGAGGGTGCAGAAGAGTAGATGATCCCCACAGATACGGATGTATGATAATGATAGTAACCCTGATTCAGTCGACCTTTCACCCCTATGCTGTTTTGGAAAAAGAAAGGATGAAGAAAATTGTGATCATATACGCTAGAAGGAAGGGTGAGAGAACAGAGCAACTAGTGTTGGAAGGAAGGTCATGTGTAATATAGACGAAAAGAGTAAGAAAAAGAAAAATATAAGAAAAATTGAGCCAATTTGTATATAACATATACAAAGAAATTGGTCAAAAGAAAAAAAAAATAATTTCATTTGCCAGGTTAATTCTTCGGTGTTTTCAACGGAGTAAGCGAGAAATATTTACAAGTGCATCAGCCATTGACAGGAGTAAAAGAGCAAGTTAATACATAAATCATTTCACCTTTTAACCTAGGACCCTTCATGAGATCGCTAAAAACAGAGCATAGCATGATGAAAAAGATGCCAGACTTGACAAAAACAAAATTTTCACATCTAAATGTTTATGTCATTATTAAGAGGAAAGATCAAAGTATTTTCAATTATTTTTAACAAATTTTCATTCTTTTTAGAACATTCTAAATTTTGATTAAAAAAAAACCAAAAAAAAAACCTTGTTTCTCTTTGTATCACCAGAACTAGTAAAATAACATAAAATTTTAACACGTTTGTTTTTCTGTATGACAGACATTAATTTTGAAAATCTTGCAAAAATAAAAATAATTGTCGGATTTTAATGAAACTTTCAGAAACTATTCCCAAATAATGGAACTTATTATAAATATGTTTTCCTTTTTTAAAGTCATGGCAAAATTCTTTTTTTTTCATATGTATTACCCTAACTAATTGTATGAAAACTCTATAATTTCAATTTTGGGAAGATTAGTGATTATATTAGTTAAAAGCATGAGGAAACCAAATCATGTTTTTTTTTTTAGTTGGACCAACTCTACCTGAAAATCATCTCTGAATTGTAACATACAAAACTCAATAAAACAAAAATATTTAATATTATTTAATTTCAAAAGCTTTTAATTGCTTTTATTTATTTTAATGAACATTGACAATATTGTCTGAAAGCAAAAAGATATTTCAATGAAAAATGAATTTTTAAAACAATTATTTGTTATTTTTTAAATATTTTATTATTTTTACATTATGTTGTTAATTCTTCTAAAATTAGGGAAAAGTTTGTAAAATTTAACGAATGTTGTTATTAAGTAGATATATATTTACAGATTATAATTTCCAAAGCTTCTTACAAACTAATGAACAACAGTATATAAAAAAAAATATAATTTGTGTCAATAAGACTGCAAATCAAATCTACAGAAAACCGGAAGTATCATGCGTGCAATAAAAAAAAGTCACATAAATTGAGTTTCTCTCTAGTATTTAACTTAAATACTGAATTTTTAATACAATTATTTGTTATTTCTTTAATTATAATAGATTTTTACATTTAAGTTGTTAAAATATTATAAAATTAGTTAAAAGCCATGTTCAATTTCATAAATGTCCTTTTGAGATAGATTTATTTTTGTGAAATGTGTGGAGAAGTTAATTTGATTTTTCAATTTCAACTGAGAAGGGTACCTACAAGTATCAGTATCATCTTATGAAATTTAAATTAGTATTTTATGTACACTTCTGATAAAATTTCATAAGAAAGGTACTTATAAATTAATTAGATACCTTTCTTATGAAATTTAATCTTACTCTCAAGTCTTATTTTAATTTCTGTATAATATATTTTCCATAAAGCATTGTAAACATAAGAGTAAAAGCTAAGTACAAAAAAAAATTAGAGTGCTGAAAGTTTTCCTTAAAAATAACAAGGTAAATAATTTGTTCACTTAAATCTAAATAATTTTACTTCTCTCCTTCCGTAGAAAGAATGATCCTCACGTAAGCTATTAATACATCATAAAAATGTCTTTCATCACCTGTCAAATGACGCAAAATGTTATGACCTGCTTTGTTTGATTTTCAAACATTTCGGCACAGAAACTAAGTTCAGCTTGTTTCAAAATATTTTAAATAAAAACAATTTCTGATTTTCTTAAAATAAGTTTTGAAAAAATTGATTTTTAAAAGAATTTCAAACTGAGATTTTCATTTTTTTATAAAATGGAAAAAAAAAATGGTTGACATGATTATCTGTCAATTTTGCTGACTAAAAAAAAAAAAAAGATTTTTAACGAAAATTTTGTACGTGCTAGAACGAAATTAAAAAAAATACTTTGATCTTTCCTCTTAATGATAAACATTTAGGCGATAAAGTTTTGTTTTCGTCAAGTTTGGCGTCTTTTCCGTCATGCTATACTCTTTTTTTAGTGATCTCATGAAGGTACCTTCACCTTTTAACATGATTTTTCATAAAAAAAGATACTGCCTGTTTAAAAATACTATTTTCATTATGTTGCAAGCAAAAAGACATACATAATCGAAATCCGACATCAAAAATTAACCAATATTGTAAAAAATTAGATTTCAAAAAGGCCTCAATTACTTTCGAGATCTAATTTTTTTCATGGTTAAAAATTCATCCATCAGTAAAAGTCAAGAATCAGGACCATATGATACAGGATTGGGACAAATTCTCTGGATAAAACTTTATATTCTAATTTTAATTTTAACCAGAAATATTTAGGTTGATACGTGTGTAGAAAAAAAATCAATAGCTAGTATTTGGATGATGACGTATTATTAGACTAGGTAATAAAAAAAAAAGTTTAATATTGTTAACTAACACTTCATGACATTGTTACTAACTAACCACACAAATGATGAAGGCAATAGTAGCCCAAATGTAAATTGTAGAATATTTAGACAGTGTAGTAAACGTCATCATATTCTGTACTTTAAAAACAAACTTTTAAAAGTAAAAAATGATTTGCTGTTCCATCCTTCCTACAACAAAAAAAATGACCAAAAAAAAAAAACTTCACTTTGAAGACTTTTAAACTGAAACGTAACTAGACTGAAAAACGGGATTTTGATAAAATGTTTAGTGTTGTAAATGTCGGATTAATTTACCACTGGAATAAGTGCATTGACAAAGATTATGTTGAAAAATTTGGCTGTGGTTTTGGAGTGAACCTACATACTTTGAAAAACAATTTTAAAATAGTTTATATAGCAAATAAAAATGCTTAGTAAAAATTAGTTTAGAATAGGAAGCTGTAATTAATTTGCTTGCGCAAAATGGCGAGTTAAAACCGTTTTTATTTTTAAATACATTTTTTTTCGGACTTAATCAGGTAGATATTCCCATTCGTCTCTAGATACTTGTTGGGTCTTTTTCCTCCGAGAAAACGCTTTCCCGCTATTCTCTTACTTTGACTCAAGACTGAGTATGAAATGAAGATATTTTCCTGCGGCTGTTTTTTTTTTTTTTAGGTCAATTCCAAACATCCATCAAAACAACTTTTGGATACGAAGTTCATAAGGCAGCAACAATCTTCATTCGGTCTTTGTTCTGTAATTAACTTTTTTTTCTTTGAAAAGTTCATTTTCTTCAAAAGTTCTAGCTAATTTTCTTTTTTTTTTTTTTTGTTTTTAGGGAGCGGTGGTACATGCGTAGGGAAATCACTTTTGGGAGAAGAAAGAAAAATGCATCGTAAAAATTGCGGAAAGAAAAAAAAAAGACAACTGAAGTACAACATTAATTACAAAACTTGCTCAGATAAAATTAAATAATCCAAATATTTAAATTCATTTTTTGTTTATCTAATTTATCCTCTCTCCAATTTCACCTGAAATAATTTGTTAGAGATCCAAATTTTCAGTTTAAAAAAAAAAAATTCAAACTATAAAAAAAATATACGGATTTTTATCAAGTGGAAAAGAGAAAAGACATTTCCTTTAAGTTAAAAAAAAATTAAAGGACTTAGACAAAGATTGATGCGAGAACGGAAAAAATGTTAAAAATATGAAATTAATAAAAAATTATTTGAAGCTTCAATTAATTGAGTAAACAACAAAAAAAAAAACGTAAAAATGTAATTGATATGTAAGAAGTTGAAATAGTAAAATTGTTAAAAAGAAATAAGAATGCTAATTTATATATAAACGTATATTTTTAAATGGTCATAAAGAGATTGTTAAGAGAGAAAACAGGTCTACCTTTCGATGAAAAAACCTCGGAAGCAAATAAATGGGTGTAACTAAGTTTCCTAGTAAAAAGAATTTTTAGTTTCACTTTTCGAAAAGAAAGCAATTATTTTATTCTAAGCAAACATTTTCGAATTTGACTTTGAAATTAAATTTTAGTGGCTAATTAGAACATAATTAAAACAAATGCATCGACTCATTAGTCTTTTTTCTCTTTTTGGCAAAGTACAAGTTTAAATCATTTCTAAATTGGTAAAGCATTTCACTTTAACAGCCTTCTTTCGGATATAAACAGCTTTCGTTTCTCTTGGTCAACGGTCATTTAATTTCTCTATCAGGCTTTAATGGCTAGGCTCAAGTTCAAGTTGTGCTTTTAGATATCTTGAAAGCATTTCACGAGGATTAGCATGCTGGCCTTCTCCACAAGCTCAAGTGCTATGGTGTCGCAGGATGAATGTTAGGCTTAAAAAACCCAGTCATTCTTTGTAATAAACCGTATTGATTACATACGCTACTCTAGATAATTTCACATTGGAAAAATATTCATGGACCTATATTGTTTATTTAGTACAGATTATTACACATACACAACTATTTACTCCTGTTTGTAGGATCAAGAATTAAAGATCCTATATCATTCGAAGAAACCTCAAATCACATGCTCCAAATTTAATAATACAACAATGCATTCTGAATGTACCAACCCTATTTTTGACCCAAGCAAAAATACATTTGTGCCAAAAATTCTGGAGTCTACTGTTGGGAATGTGCAGAATGAACTAAGAATTTTGCTATGGTATTAAAATAAATCAGAAGGAATTTTTTTGTCAGGTTGCCTGATCTTCTCTTGCATCCGCAACAATAAATAATTCTTGATATAAACAAGGCAAAACATGCATGCAATTCAAACAAATGCATTTATATACAAATAAAAATATTATATAAAAAATATTTTACAAGATGTTATTGTGTTGGTATGTTCGTAATAACTGAATTTTTTTTTTTTTTTTGTATGTTCTTTTGTGTTTTGTCACAAAAAACATGAAACTTTTGTGTATTTGTATTAGTCTTTAAGAAAAATGTACGTAATTAGTGTTTACTTTAGAATATCGTTATATTTTTAGAATTGAGTCATTCAGAAGTAGTCTACCCTTAACTGTAAATATTAAGTATGTTCGATAATAGTATTTAAATTGTAGTGAGTGTTAATAATTCACTTTGGATAAGTCTTGCGGGTAGAAGTTCTTTGTATTCACAGAGGAATCTTCGAATCGAGTTTGTGAGTCAGTTGTGGTCTCGTTTGCGCGGGAAAATTATAATCGCAAGTTATGTGGATTAGATTTAGCGTTTCTCTGTGTTTGCTGGACTGACTGATTTATCGTAGATGATCAAAGAGAAGAATGTAGTTTGAGATTCTTGAATGACGAAGAAGTTCGTAGAAGATATTGAACAGGAAAGATTTGTGCGTCTCGCTTCGAGAGACGGGAATTGTAGTCGTCACATTTTTAAGCTTGAGCAAGCGGCCAAAAAAAAAAAAAATGGTCCACTGCAGATCTGCCCAGAAGATTTATTGCGACAATAGTTACAATTGTGGCACAAGGCCAAAAAGGGGAGGGGGAAAAGCTGGTCAACACTATCTTATACCTAGCTAATCTGACTCACGACCCATTCATACATTACAATTTACTCATTCACCACAAGAACTCATCCATCACCGTTCAATCCTCCAACCACCATAATACCACATCCACTCCAAGGGAACCTACCAAAACGCGCCCCAATCCATAAAAAATTTGATGATACATAAATGATATACATAAAATTCTAATAATGATAGAATGCAAGGAGGGAGATGGACCCAATAATAAATAAAAATAAACACAAAATACAAACTAAACATAACACATGTTAGTAGGGACCGTCCAACCCTCAAAACAGAGAGGTTGCTGTATTCTGCCCAGGGGACAGAATCAAGAGACGCTCTCGCTAAGGGAGTGGGAAAGGAGGAAAAAATATTATGCCGAACGGGAAAATGTAAAGCTGACCCAGTCGAGATAAAAAGGGCCAAAACAAACTGGGAGGTTGGGAATCTCGACTTGGACCATAACCAAAGGAGCAGCCGGGATACAGGCCAGGAACAACACTTACTCACATTAACTAGGTACACTGAAGCTTGTCTAACCTAACCAAGGAGAGGGTTCCACAGGAAGCCACCCCGATGTGCTATAGGTTGGCCTAGAAAAGAAAATCAAGGCTAGCCCCGGTCACACGAACCAAGCTCGCCTCTTTTACCCACCTTTCGCTAAAGACTGTCGAATGCAATCGTTTTCTATCAGATCTAATCTTCATCTTGAGCTGATGCTCAAAGAATTGGATTAGATGCTGATAAGAAAGACGGTTGCCCCACAAGACTTCCTCCATTCGGGTCGTCCAAATCACCATTCGAGCCGTGGCCATCAGCGTCAGAAACACTATTCGTTTCACCCCGGAATACGGGGGCGACACATTGTCACACGCGTATGCGCGATCAATGGACACAAGCTGTTCGGGAGCGAGACGAGCCGTCAGCTCGCCGACATGGTCCCATAAGGGGTGGACCCGGAGGCAATGGTAGAAGGCGTGCGAAGCCGTTTCTTCCAAGCCAAGGCCACACCGTTCACAGTCTGGCAAATCCGCCAAACCCCATATGAAAGCCTTGTCATTGAGAAGCAGCCGATCCCGAGCCAATCGCTAAGTAAGCGAAAACTCAGGGTTACTGGGGTAATCCGCCGCTGGCGCCCAAGACCAATAGGAGCGACACTCCTCTTCCGACAAGCCGAGCGTATCACGTAGCGAATCCTTGGCGCGACCCTCCACTAATCCACGATAGAAGACCTTCCTAGGCCGAGAAAGGTCACTGGACCGGGGAATGGCCTTCAAGGCCAACCGACACTCGCGAAGGAAATCCGATTCATCCCGGGGTTTACAACGGCGCTCAACCCGCGAGATGGGGGAACTGATGGTAAGGCTAGGGAAGGCGTCCCTAACAATCCCCTCCAGAATCGGATCTCCTCTAGTCAATGCCCGGCGTAGGAAAGCCAACCTAGAGGCACGGATGTGACTCAACAGGTGCGGCATTCCCAGCCCCCCATGACACGGACGTTTAGTGCAGACTCGTCTGTCTACCCTGTTCACGCGTCCCCTCCATAAAATGGAGGATAGCGATCGCTCGAGCGCCTTCCTGTGGTCTTTACAGAGAGGAAGCACGGACAATCGATAAAGAATCAGGGGGAAAATGTATGTAACACACACCTCTGCCCTGCCCTTCACGGACAACCTCCGTCGATTCCAAGTCTGACCGGCAGAATCGACCTTTGCTCGTACTTCAGACCAATTCTTCTCCAGCTGGAGGTCGGGCCCAAACCACACTCCAAGAATGCGGACAGGACCGTACGTCCAACCGAAGCGGCCCGGAAGAGCGACCCCTTCCAGGCACCTAACCGCAAGCCGGACGACTTGTCGCGGTTTATCTTGGCCCCTGTCACCTTCTCGTACCGATCAAGCGCCTTCTGTACCGCCTCAATGTCGCTGCGGGACGACACGAAAGCAGACACGTCATCGGCGTACGCGGAAACCCTGGCTCGAGACCCTCCAGGGACGGCGATTCCACGTAGGGCCGGACTGCCGGTCTCGTCCTTCAGCCGGCGAAGGAGAGGCTCCAACGCCAAAGCATAAAGGAGAGGCGACAGCGGACAACCCTGACGAACCGACCTAGACAGCACGAACGCGTCCGACAACCTTCCGTTCACCTGTACCACAGCACTGGGGGGAGCGATACAGGAGGCTAATCCAGCGGCCTGCAGAACAGTAGCAAGGTAGCGATGGTCAACCCTATCAAATGCCTTGGACTGATCCAAATTGATCAGCGCGGCTTCTTCGTCGTCTTTTACACCCTCTATGATCGTGCGGATCAGATGCAGGTTGCTCTGAATTGTTCGGCCCCTCACAGAACAAGTCTGCTCAGGTCCCAACAGAGACTCGGCAACTGACTGCAAACGCTCCTCACTGCAGATCTGCCCAGTTCTGCTTCTCCTGTCACGTGTGCTTTTGGGTTCATTTTTAACAGGTCATGACCGCGTGGGTGGATCCAAAATGATTTTGCGCCAAAACTTCGAAGTGCACGTGCGGGCGACCTGATTGGTAAAAATGAACCAATCAGAGGGCTAGATTTACGAATGAAAGTTGGAATAGTGCATTACTCGAAGAAGGTAAGATTGGGCTAATAGACGAGCCCAATACTACCACGTGGCACATACTGTGTATATTAACAACACAAAATTCAGATTGATGACATACGGGTTCTTTTGGTGAACCTGATAAATTGTAATGAGTGAACAGGTCGTGAATCGGATTAGCTATGTATAGGATAGCAGTGATGACCAGCCTCAGCTCAACAACACCCCCCTTCGGCCTTGTGCCACAATTTTGTATTTTTACAAAACAAATCTCATAAGGTGGAAAAATCTAACCCAGAGCTATAGTGCAAGTGTCATTATTCTTCATTTCAGACCATATGTTAAAATTCTTTTAATGCCAAAACACTTTTCATTGCTCTTTCAACACAAGCTAACTAAAAGTCAACAAATATCAAAGAAAGGCAACCCAGTTAAAACATAAAGTCCACTTTATTCACACACAATTTTCATAAACCTCAAGCTGTTTAATTTCAACATAATATAATGAGGTCTATCTCATGTTCACACACCTTATTCCAACACTCAGGATCTATCTAATCAGAACATTACTAAAACTCAAATCCAAACATACAAAGACATTTGAATATTTTAAACAACTTTTTCAACAAATGTTTGTACCTTTTATATAAAAATTCCTATTTATTGTTATTCACTCTTGTCTTGAATATTATTGCTCTCTTATTGTTCCTTATTTTGTTACATTTGCGATAATATAAATACGTAAGGATTGTTAGACCCCTATGGGTCAGTAACCCCTACAAGTTTTATTAAGTCTAATCAGTTAACTGAAAAAAGGAATAGCTTGTAAATTTGAATGCCTCCAAAAT